GTTTGTCATATCGCGATATGCGGGCTTCATGTCGCGACATGGGGGCGGTGCATTTTTGCCCGGGTATGTCATATCGCGATATGCAGGCTTCATGTCACGACATGGGTGCGGGGGCGTTTGTCAAATCGCGATATGCGGGCTTCATGTCACGACATGAGGGTGGGGGTATTTTGTCGGGGTGTGTCATATCGCGATATATGGACTTTGTCGCAACAGTGGCGCCATGACAGTGATGCGCCAGTCGCAATGAGTATCGCCATGTGATCGTGATGGTCCTATTATGACATGCTATCGGAGTCGTGAACACGTTATGGATGCCAGACATTCTTCGTCTGCTATTCAGTTTTAACCTCAGTGCGAGTTCTCTTAGATTGATTAGTAATTGAAATCCAATGGATCTGTTACTGAATATCCAGCGTGCTCATACAGCACACACCGTTAACCGGGGCTACAGTATTTGGATCAAGAAGAATATCCATCACCTGTGTATCTACATTTTCTCGGAACTTCCGCTGTGACGCTTTACCCAATCAGAGTATCGATTCTCATTCTTCAACCAATCGCGGCCCGAGCTGTTCGGGGGTTTAGCCAATCACGGGTCTGAGAGCTGTTCAAGCTAGCAGCGCCAGGTGGATCGGCTTGTTTACTGTCAATGAAAATCTATTTTTAAAATGCTTTACTTATTTGCAAAATAACTACATCGGCTTTATTTATTCACAATGTCCTGTACTCTTCGAAATAAATACATTTTATTTGCAATTTAACTCTCCGCTGCTTTCTGTAATGAATACATGGTTTTTGAACAATTTTAATCGTATATTTAAGCACCTTCTGCTTTGTACTTCAAAAATGAATAGAAATGTTAAGTCAATGATCATTATATTATTATGCTAATGCTTTTTTGATTTTGTTTTTTATTGTTAAATTATATCGATCTTGAAACTAATACCTAAAAACGTGAATATGGGCTCTCGTGTTGTACCAGCGGTAATCTGGAAACTGGTGTCTCTTCAATGAAGTACACAAGCAATACATTTTCGACAACATGGTTAAAAATTAAAAGAAAACACCTAACCCAATGAACTAACACAGTAACTCCTCCCTAAATGTAAGACTGTTTATTCGTGTAAAGGCTGCAAAGTCTGGGGTCAACTGATCAAAAGATCACAACTGAAAGATCTGGTGGTCGTGACTTTGCAGTATTGTACGTCACAAGGCGACGTAAGAGGGCGCTATATTGAAATATATTGAAACATCCACCACACCCCACCAGGAAGACTCGGAAAACAAATTGCCCCCGTTGTTTTCATCACAATCAGGAGTTCAAGTACCGAGTTTGTTGGTAACTGCAAACTTCCTTTTAGATAGACTAAATCACATGATTGCCCGAAAACCTAAGACGCCATATCATGGAGACGAAAGCAGCGCAAACGCTGTCTATATGCCCATACTGTATAGACCATTTATATTTAATATACAAGTACAGAGAACGCACACAACCTTTGTCTGATTTCTTTCGGGTGCATCTGCCTCGAGTTAAGGTTTCATTCACACGGGGGCGGGAATTTTTTCACATTAATCCCTAGCAACTGTACTGAACACACCGAGATACCAACATAAACACACAAAAACGTCTGGCTGCGTTTTATCCGTATCGTAATAAGCAAAAGCACACACATGCACGCAGGAACTGCCTGCATCGTTACGGATCCTGGAAAGATATGTGGAACCTGTGCGCTTTACGGAGGGAGGAATACAGATTTGCAGGGGACATTAAACTGGATATGACTCCGGGACAGGGGCTCCAGCAACCCGCGACCCTGAGTTTTTGGAATAATTGGTTAGGAAACAGATGAGGGATGTCATTGTCTTTTTTGCGAATAAGTCTAAAAGGGATTGTGGAAGGTAAACAAAGTTCCGTTTGTGGAGCCTTCTTCAGGTGTGAAGAAATACGGTTCTTTGTTAAGAATGAAGGTGGCCTATTTTTATCAAGCAAAATAACTGGCAGGTTTATGAGGTTATTATCGGTTTACAAAGTAAAAGTGTTTTATTCATAAAACAGGTGTTGGTTAAATGACTCTAACGCCAGGTTAGGCATGGCGTTTGCCGTCACTCTTATCGAACTTGTACTTGTACAAATGTGCGGCAACCATGAATGAAGTTCCAGTAAAAACAAGAACAATTGTGAGTGAAAAAGTACTGTATGTGACAGACATGGCTTCGTTCCCTAATCCTCGGGACACCTAAGTGGGCCGCACTGGGTGGAGACTAAGGGATTGTTACTCTTGAGAAAACATCAGTGCTTGAGGACTAACACTACAAACTGCATTCACAGCCTTTGCGCCCGTTTACGTCCTCGCGAGAAACTGACTTTAAAATGTGTCAGAGATCCTGCAGAACATTTGATAGGGTTGAGTGGATAAACTTAAAATGTTTTTCATGAAACTGCAGCGGAGTATTTTTTCTCAAGAGGAGCGGCACACTAAACATGAAACATTTTGAAATGTATTGGAAACTTCAAGCAAAACATTACGAATGAAATGCAGTATATCAAGGAAGCCTGCTACTTGGTCAGTAGGTCCAGATGATTTCACCGTGAAAGCAGCCCCTTACTTTAATCCATTCGTTTATGTTTTACCCACTGTTTGAAACACCAAGTCTGTCATAGGCCGCAGCTCAACTAAAAACTGTACACAGGAGTAAAATAGTACTCTACAGGAGACATTCAATACAGTTCAGGTACTCGGACTGACAGAGAGAGAAGCAGTTGTGTTGTGAAAAACATTTATTCCTGCAGCAGGATGTAGTGTGTGAAGTTAGAAGTCATAATTAGGGTCTTCCATTCTCATTGATTCGCTACAAAAATATAATCTAGAAAACACTAAAAAAATTCCCCACATTTTGAAAAGACAGTACCAAAATATTTGCTTGTCAGATTACTAAGAGAATAGCAGCCACCCAAAAACCCTTTGTAAAAACAAGTACAGATTTTCATACATATACTGTATATATTAAAAATTTGCCTAAAATATTAAAAAGTACATTCCTAAATTACATTTTCCATTGTGAAAAAAATAAAATTATCAAAACAGCCCAAGAAGGTCTTAAAAAAGTCCCCCAAAAATACAAAATATGTGCTACACAGCAGTGAAAAAGTACCTCCAAGAATAAAAATCTATGGACTGCACTCTTAAACCACTAGTGTGACAGTCAGGACTTGTGAGGCCAAAGGCAGACTGGAACACTAATGCTTTGGGAATACTGTCCGGTGTGCCTAGTGGCAGGGAGAGTAGTACATACATCTGCATTTCTCCATTTTGTGTTTTTCTTTCCTTACTTCATATCCTGTTAAAGGCATTTTGTGCAGCTCTCTGCTACTTCTCAACAGATTTGTCCAAGTTGGTCAGCAAAAGTGAAGAGGTGTCAGGAAAAAATGTAAAAGAAGTACAAGGGATACATATTGTGGACTAAAGAGTGTGCAGCACATAAACACTTCCCCAAGGCACTTCCCCTTAGTTTGAGAAGTCTTAGATTAGAGTTAAGGTTCACAAAATCTCAAGTATCCCTTTTCCCTTAAACCTCAGTTTGGTCCATTCAGCAACCACTTTAACCAAAGAGGGGGGTTTAAGTATTACCAGCTTCCGCCAGCTGTTTGTGCAAAAGAAGCCTATTGTACACCTTAGTCACTCTTATCAGTTGTCTCTAGGACTGCTCCAGATAATTTAGACTTGATCTCTTTTTCTATGATTTGTCAGTCGTTTGAAGCAGTGGAAGTCAACCCCCTCTTGTTATTTTTTTTTCTTGAATTTAGTCATCATGGCAAACGATGGCACGCATGAAGGAGCCCAAGTAACACATCGGCCTTAGAACAACAGTGAAACGCAGGCAATATGAACCACTCTTCTGGATACACAAGACAGTCTGGAACGATTCCTCCTGGATCTCAAGAGGGCAGCAGTTGTGCAAATCCAGCCCGCAGGCTGGGCGGTCCAGGGTGGGGTGTACAGTGGTTCAGAAGGCAGGCGGAGACAGTTAGCAGAGGCACTGGTGGTGGTCCCTCCTCCCTCCTCGTACAGTAGCAGTGTGATTCGTACCCACTCCAGGACGGTGGGGGTGGGGGTGGAGTCAGTAGTGTCGTGAGAGTGGCCAGAGCAGGTTAACTCTTCAGCCAGGCACAGAGCAGGTCACTCTGAGGGGCAGATAAAAGGCAGGGTCAGAGTTCAGCAGTTAGAGGTCACAGCCACATGCTCAGAACAATCTGACAAGTCTCTGAGAAGTCACTGATCTTTCTGAACACAAGCAATGATTCCAATCAGTATCTACATCATCAGTGAGTAAACTTACTTTTCAATGAATTAAAATAATAAATGAAGTTGTTGTACAGGGCACTTTCATTAATTTAAGCTAACACTATAGTGGAAAAGCTAGCCATGTATAACAGTACTTTCTTCTTGAGTAAAAATAATGACAGTAAAAAAGGCTGATGCTTTAATGTAAGACTGAAAACAAATTACGCTGCCTTATAAAGAAAAATAATTAAAATGTTTCAAAGGTCATCCATTTATAAAGGGCAGGAGTTTACACAGTGCCAGAAGCAATAGGGAAATACAGTAAATGGAGTTCAGGATATAACCTATCTGGTGAAAGTAGGGAACAGCAGTGTGCAGCCATTAAAAAGCAGCAGGCAGAAAATTGAAGGATCTAAAAGTGAAGTCAAAAACTTGTTTGATTTACATTTTAAAGCCCTTGTGTATATATTTACACATTTTCAAGGATTTGAAGGATGTTATGTATTTTTACAAATTTAATTAAGGTTCTTAATGTTCCATCTTACAAGTTCTATCTCCTGTAGAGGAGCACTTGAAACTATTTGCACTATAGTCATGCTAAATATCAGCAGAAAATAAGTTTTTCCATTAGATGCACCATAAATAACTGAGTGTTTGTCCTCCGCTTTATAAGATTTATGAAAATGGAGGAATTTTATATTTTTAGATTAACTTGGCAGCAGGGTGATATAGGGGTGTGGCATTTCTGGCTCAGTTCTTGGGAGTTCAGTCCCAGTGTGGGTCAAGGTCTGTGGATGTTCTTTACATGTCAATGTGGGTTTTCTTTGAATGCCCCAGTTTCCTCTCCCCTCTCCAGGACTGCTGGTTTAGCTGGTATCTCCAAACTCTTGTCCCTATGTGTACGTATGTGCCCTATGATGATGAACTGTCATTCTGTCCAGTGTCCCTCAGTGTACACTATATGGACAGGCTCTAGATTGTCTCAGCCTTTACCAGGAATACATTTCCTGGAAACAGATGGATGGAACTTGGCAGAGGTTCTGATCTCAAAATAAGTTGTCAACAATTCAACATGAGCAAAAAGATCACAGTAACAAGAGCAAACCTCAGTGTCCAAAATGAAAACCAATCTCCAGAAGCAAAACTCGTCAAAACTGTACTCAAGTGTACAGAATTGAAGTCAAAGTGAGTATTTTTCTTGTTCCAGAAGCACCGCCCTCACCTCCGTTAGTGACCACCTTCCCTCCTGCACCTTTGCTTTTTGCATTGTTTTCCATGTAACTCCTACAAAGAGACAAATAGATCAACTCAGAGTTATCTCCCAGTGGACTGCTTTCAACATCTAAAGGCATGTCTGTTTTCACATTTAAACTTTAAACATATTATCATGTAGCAACAACCCTGCAAATGCCCAGTGACTTTTTAATTGCCTCTATTGCTGTATGGAATTATTTGAATTTCTGAAACTCAGCCATATCAGCACCCTTGACTCTCCCTAAGTAAGGGTTATCTCCAGGTTTAAATCAGGGGTGCATGGGTGACTGCAGGTTTTCTGTGTTTCTTTAAAGCAGCAGCACCTGGAGAGCTGGAAGTAGCTGTCAATCTGGTTTGATTAAGCCAACAGTGATCTAATTTAGTTTAAGGGATAAGCTGGAAAGAAAACCTCCCAGGCACACTACTCCTCCAGAAACAGGACTGAACAGTACTGCTTCAAAGCTTTCCTGGAATCATTAAATGATTCTCCAGAAGCGGACTTAAAATGGCCCAAAGACTCTTCAGGACTGCAGCTAGTGAAGATAAGAAACAAGCTCTTCATCTTAAACTAAGAGACATAAATATCAGATTTCTTTCTTCTGTAAACCATTCTGTGAACTGAAGCAGCTGATTGAAACAGATTCTCAATAGAGTTTCAAGTGGAGTATTTAATTATTACACTTGCTTGCTTTCAATGTGTAGATTGTTCTGCAGCAAACAATGATAAAACTGACCAGTTCATCTAAAAGATTTATGGGAACTTCCTTGGAATAACCAGTTTAATTATCCAGCTGCAATACATCAAGTCTTGCATGTTAAAGTAAGGTTTATATTAAAGTAAAAACTGAAATATAAAGGAACGTACAAACAATCCGGTATCTGTTTAACTGTTTCATGTCGCCCCTTTCAAGAGAACATTTAACTGAAGACAAAGGCCTTTTGGGAAATAAAAGTAAAATAATACACAATGACTACATACAAAAACATTAATCACCTTTACATTTCAATAATTAATTTCTAATTTGTTTCCTTTCTAAGAAATGTATGGCAAGTTCAATGATTTCCAGTTTTAAGCAATTCATGTGCCCTGGGTGAACTGTGAAACCAAGGTCTCCCACAGACATGCATCATCTGAAGGGTTTCTATATTTCACATTGAAAATGAGCTTAATGACTACTGTTCTTATTCCATTTCCAGCTACTTTAGTATAAATAACAGAGACGATATCTGTTTACATTTTTTAATGCCATTAGGTCACATTAACAGGACAGCTCATTAAAAGTGATAACACCCCCTACAAAGAATGATGCAGTCCACCCTTCAAATTTAAGCAAATTAATTGCATTACTCTGACTATGTGGTCAAAGGTGGAAGAAATAGGCACTTACATTTGATCTCCTTCCAATGATCTCTGGATCTCCTGCAGCACTTCTGTAACATTAAAAAGGTTGGGGTGAACCTGTGAGAAAGAGAGACTCTCCCCCTCCCAAACCCCCCTTCTCCCAAGACAGGTATTCAACACTAGAGTGGGGTAAACTATGAAATGGATGCTACAACAGAGATGTTCTTTTAAATATTTCCAGAAAAGTACTGACAAAGGCAGACAGGTGGAATTTATGTGAAGGTAAAGACTGAAAATAGGAAGCACATTATACACAAAGCATTTTGGGAGTTAGGTACAATCTGACGAGCCATTCTATTGAACCTGACTCACTGGGGTCCATCATGAAGATACTGTATGGGCTGTGAATGTCACCCATGTTGTGCAAGTCATTCTGCTGCGTTGACTTACACATAATGCTCAACACAAGTTCTAAAGTAAGGGCCTGAATGCGACAAACTGGAGGACCTGAATCCCTGGTGAAAACCCTGCTCTCTGTCTGTGGAGTGAATAATGCTGAGCAAGAACTGTTGATTCACTACAAACACCAGAAGACCACAAGCCCTGGAACCAAGGCTGACCCTGGGTCCCAGACACAGTACTCACTCTCGTCGTTGAGTAAGGCGTGCTCCATCACCTTCGGGGACAAACTCACTGGAACACAGACAGGAAAGACACTAAGTATACAAGCCCACGCTATTTTCTTCCTGTGGTTACATGACTGAGATGGAAGGGATAGTTTTCTAAATAGATAAAAAAAGACAACTCACTATGTTCATTATCTTCATTGTGGCCCCTGGATTTCAATCTACATGAAAGAAAAAGAGAAAATGTCAATCATATCCATTCCATGTCCGATTCTTTTGGAGAAGGTCTATTTTTTTTTAAATACTGGTTTTGGCAATAGTATTTTTTAAAATGCATTTCTCAGGAATGCTTTCCAACCAGGATATAATGCTATAATTCTTGTTATTGGTTATCTGGCCTTTTGCTGTTTCACATACAGACTCCTCCTTTATTGGCAACATAGAATATACAATTTATTTGTCTGTTTTCATAATAAGTCTTTTTTCTGTGAAAGGCGTGGAGACTGAGCACTCCCAACAGCCTTCAGACTGGTTTTAAGTGCATGTGACAGTGTCATGGCAACTTCTCTCCCATAATCCTTTGTGGAGCACTCCCACTTAACATTCACCTTTGTGCGCAAGGAACAATTGTGCACATGCAGTAACGTAGGTAGATGGCCGGAGAACACGGTGCACTTTGAGCTGAAATGTAATACTTGACCTACTGTCTGGCGCCGTGCTCTTATTACCTAGGCTGGACGGCTGCGCCGTCAGGCTGAGCTCTGGACAGGGGTTTGGACGCAGAGGAGGCTGGAGGAACCTCAACAAAGGAGCGTGGCTCCACCACCCAGCGAGCCGACAGGGAGAAGCGTTCAAACTCCGAGGGGGAGATCAAGTAGAAGCCTGTCAAACAAAAGGGTTTGGATCACTGTATAAATCATATGGCACTGAAGAGGAAAACTGCAAAGAAAGAAGCATTTCCAAACCAGAAAACGGAACAAGATCCCAACAGGATGGGTACGTTTTATTTTCCTTTAAAAAATGCTAACAGTTTCAGAATCAGACCACTGTGTTAAATATCTAGATGAGCTCCCTCCAAACACCATTGCAATCAGGTAAACATTTACTATTTCTCTACCCTTAGTATTAGCACTAGCATTCATGACAGTCCTTGTAGCCAGGACAAAACTACCAGACTGTTTCCGCTTGCATTTAGTCACAGTTCTGTCAAGACATCTTGTATCCATTTTAAGATACCGTATTCTTGGACTGCAGATAGAAATAAGGTACAAGCTTCAATATCTTTATCCGATTGTCCAAGTAGCAGAAGAGAGTTCTTGTTCCAGATGCTGAAGCCAGGACTCACCTTGGCCGTATTTAGTGAAGACGCAGGAAGCGATGCCACTGACGTCCTCGCGGCGGATACAGGGGTAGCGGACCTGCATCTTGAGGTTTGGCAGGGAGATGACGTGCAGGTCTCCCTGGTTGGTTAGCACCACCAGACCACTCTCGCTGTAATCTTCCACGCGACTGCTCCCGAAAGACGCCACCCCCACCTTGCGCACCCGCGACCCATCCAGCGCCGTCAGCTTCAGTTTCATCTTGGAACTCACCTTGGGGAGGGTGAATACCTAGGGAGGAGAGCGCATGAGTGTGGGTGGAGAGGAAGGCAGGGAAACAATGATGGGGGCAACCCCATGACAGTGAACGATTTGGGGGAGTGAAATATTAATTTCAAGCAACATCTAAAGAAAGCATGGTGTTTCCAGAAATTAGTGTGCATTAAATCAAATTGATGAGATGGTCACTGAGCCACTCAGCTCTGAACAGGCCTGACTGTGCTGCTGGGGCTCTCTCACCTTGAACTGTTCCTCGGAGATGACCAGCAGGTGGTGTGACCCGTGCATTTCAGGGGTGCGTGCTAAGTCGTGTGCCACCTCAAGGGGCTCAGGCAGGGGCACCCCTCGACCATCCAGAACCACGATGCCCACTACTGGAGCACGGTGCATCAGCTGGATCTCCTTTGCTATGAGGCCCAGAAAGAGACACTGGATTTAATCATCCCATCACAGAAAGCTACCTAAATGTGAAGAACTGACTGTACATCAGGCTTGTTTCAAACCGAAAGTGGCCACTTCCTTCTGAACCTTATCCAAAGAAAAAAGGTAACAGGCCCATTCACAGGCTTAAAAGAATGCCCATCACTGAGAAGTTAAAAGAACCGAGTCTCTTTAACCATGAACAGAGATAACTACAAATTAGGATTCAAATCTTCATACAATTCTTTAAGGCAATGAAAGTTATTCCAGTCAGGATCAACACTGAAACACGAACCACAAGACACAAAGAGAAACTAAGTGAAAGATCATGTAAGACTTATAAGAGTGAGAACAAGCGCCACTTCTTTACTCAAGGGGCTTTGTCCAGAACAATCAACTCAATTAGATTGCTGGGACTAATACAATTTTTTCTTTGAGAAACAGCTGGATAACAACTTCAATCACTATCAATCAAACTAGAGTGGCCAAAACTGCTTCTCCTGCTTGTGCTTCTATGTACTTTAAGACTTGTGATCTCAACAGAGCCAAGCTCCACCTACATTCAATTGACACAAATTTGCCAATGTATTAAGATGATTTTATAATATTGAAATGAAGAATTATTTGGATTACGTCAAAGTTGGACATTGGTCAATTGTGCTTGTACCTACTTGTACTGTACCTCCAGACCACTGTCAGGTCATATATGCCTGCAAGGGTACTGAGATCCAATTCCCTATGCTGGCTGGCAATACAAGTGCTGAGAGGGCACAAATCCCAGGCCTGACTGTTCTCTGTGCTGCCCCCCTGTGTTCGGATGACCTACCTGCCACAGTCAGAAGTGCACACTCATGCCCCATCTTCTTGAAGTTACTGAAAACCCATTTCTTCAAGATATGCCTAACTTCGGAGGCCCATGGCTAACTCCCACTTACTGATTATGCGCTTATGCTAGTGCGAGCGACCAATCAACAGCTCCACACCCACCAGCGTGTGCAGTGATTGGATCCTCCGTCCTCTTCTCACTGGATGGGATGCGGAGAGTGTAGGCAAAGACAGAGCCACCGTTGGTGCCAGCCCACAGAGAGGGGGTGTTGTGTAACCCTGCAGCAGGAACACCCGAACACAAAACTTGGTCAGGATTGTTTTCCGCTTTTTAATTTTTCAAAAATACACAAAGATGATAGAAATCCAGTATTTTTTTTATATTTTATTTCTGGAATCAGCAGTTGTCAGTTCAGCCTACCACTAACTGTATATAACAGCACCAGGTATGAATTTCTACATGCACACATCCCCCAAAATGTGCCCCAAAGTAATTTCCTACTTTTTGCATCAGATGTAATGTTCAACATACTGCATAGTGAATCTACAGCATGGTTTGGCAATGTGTGGCACACTGTCATGCAGAGAGATTTTTAGCGGCACATGTAAAAGAAGTCTAATAAGCCCAGTGGAAAAAAGTGTGCATATAAATGACATACAGCGATTAGAAATCTCAGAGTAGCTGTGCTGCCTAAAACCCATGCACAGCAAAATGACAGGGGAAGATATAGCTAAGACTTTTACTGAACATTCTGAGGAAAGAGGATTTGACATGAAGACAATATTTTCTGTGATGACTAATGGTGCCCCTGCAATGGTCAGAAAACATAAGTGATTTGTAAGATCATTGCGGATCACACTGGACATCCTTCCGCAAATTTGCATTGTATTATTCATTGTAAGTGCTGAAAATAGCGTATTTCTGTAGTACTCCATCTGCCTTGACGCACAGGCAGTTTCAAATGGCTTCAGGAGAAGCACACTGCAAACTCTTGACTAGAGTCAAGAGTCAAGCTATGAGCTCGAGACTGCAGAGCTAGGGCAAGAATCGCACTTAATGTTAATACTTGCATGTTTTATTTTAATATTAATCTTTTATCAATAAAGATGTAAGTAGGACTACTATACTTTTAAAAAGTATCAATGGCACGCAAATATGTGGAAACAAATGCATGAACTAACTCTTGGTATGTCCTTTTGGAAAGATTACCATCCCCTGATCTACCAAAGCTATATGTTTCTGTCCTGTCCAACCGATTTTGGTATGTTTTACTAAAGCAATGGTAATCTCTAGTGGTAGAACAAAGAAGCATAGCATTCTAGCATAGAATGTAGGCTTTCTAAAAATGTTTACAGTGCTGCATGTGAGCCATTTAAGCCATCTGTTTCTTTTTTAAACTCCCACAGTGAAAACAGCGGGCAGTGGCTGGTGGACTGGCACAGGTCTCTGACAACACCGCCAGCCAACCGGCCCTCTGCAGGCCACAGGAGTCACTGTGGAAACAGCCACAATGAGGGAACCTTGTCTGAATTTAAACTGATGCCATGTCAGCGTCAAACTGTCAACTGCACGTCGGCCACACGATAAAGATTTGAACCAGTGATACACAAATTTGTGCCTAACATCGTACAAGCCGAGCTGGGCAGCTTAGCCCCTAATTATCTCATTCCTTGATAAAAAAAAAACAAATCAATTTGTCCTTCTTGAAGGAAGAGCTGTAACAGGATAAAACGTGCTACTGTAAACTGCAAAGCAACCGGCACACCCTTTCAGGCATCCATTCCAACTCAAACGGCTTCTGTCCCCCGAGAGCTCACCATCGCTGAGGAAGGAGTCCGCGAAGTAGAGAGTGCGCACCAGGCCTGTGAAGGAGTCGTCTGAGGAGCGCGCCTCGATCTTCCTCTGCACCGGAGCCAGCTCCATCTCCTGCAGCGCCTCCGCCTCCAGCCGGGCATTGAGCTCCTGGATCTGACCAGGCCGGGGGCAGAGAAGGGGGGGGGTGAAAAACCACTCCGGGCAATTAGAGAGGGGCTGGCAGCCCAGTACGTAATCTCGGCACTACCTCAGGAGCAGAGTGCAAGCCTGTCAAATAATAAAATTGTGCCTTTGTTTATTGCAATTGCTTTGGCAACAATAATTCATCAGTCACGCCAATAAATCCGTTAAGAGTCGGGGGGGGGTGGAGAAAAAGAGTCACACTGGGAGCTGGATAAAGGGAAGGGGGTGAGTCAGGATGCTGAGAATAAAGACTGAACACTGAGTTTTACCAAACAGTGGTTAATATGATGTAACTTTTCTTTATGCAAGAATTATTAAATATTCCTACAAGGTATTTACACTGGAACAGCTTGGCATTGCTTGAATTTTCAAACGTTTTTCAATGTGTGAGAAAACCAACTGTTTACTAATTGTTATAGCACTTGCAGCACTAACTCCACTAACTCTTTAAAAATGAAAGAGAAAGAGAAAGAGACAGGGAGGAGTTGAGATGGCAGTAAAGAGAAACAGCAGTGTTGTTCCAGATGTACTCAGGCTGGTGTGGAAAGAGCCTGATGCCAAACACTTCAATAAAAAGGTTTCTGGGGTTTTCAGGGACAGCTGCGCCTGGTACCTTGGCGGCGTTGCTCGCATGCTGCTTCCTGACCGATACGCGGCTGCGGCGGATCCGGCGAAAGGACTGGCGCAGGGACTTCTTGATGGACTTCACACGGGACAGGGGCCCCTCCAGCGCCAGCTGGTCACTGGGGTTCAGAGTGCACCTGCCAGGAGACAGCATACTATTACAGAGGGGCAGCAGAGCAGGGGAGCCCCAGACAGGGATGAGCCCCAGAGGTCTTGCAGATAATGGCACGGGGATCCAAAACACAGCATTTTTTTTAAAGGAGATTTTATAAATGCTAGACTTGCGATCCATTTCAAATAGCATTTTTCTTAAGAACTAAAACTCTTTAGCCTTGAACCAGAATGTCGAGAGCTTCTAGCTCAAGAACTCCAGCAGAAATAAGTACTGTTCACTGTCAGAACCAAGACTGTGACTAACACATCAAAGGTATTAATGGTTTAACTGTACTTAGCCAATCTGACCTCTTGGGTTTTGCAAACATCTGAGCATTTGTTCGGATTTGTGTAAATTTAAGATGCAAGTCCTTCTCTCTCAGAAACGTCAGCCCCTCTCTCCGAGAGGCCTGTGGACAGACAACGGCTCTGACCTCACGAGGACGGTGTTCTTCTGTTGGTAGTCGTACAGGCCAAAGCCGTGGCTGGTCCCGAAGGCCACCAGCTTCCATTCGGAGTGCAGGGCCAGCGAGGTGACCACTGCAGGGGGCTGGCACTGCACCAGGGCAAAGGGCTGGAAGCCAGCGGGGAAGGGCACGGCCTCCTCGCGCACCTCCAGCCGCGTATGCCCCTTCCAGCGGAAGCCCTCCTGGCCCTGCAGAAGGTCTGCCAAAGAGCCCTCCACTACCTGCTCTGCAGCCTCATCGTTCAGCTCCAGCACCAGGATCTGCCAGCAGGGGGAGATAAGAGCTTGAGGTCGCTGCTTGACACTGCATACAGCACAGTAGTACCCCATTTTGCTTGCTTGATCACAACAATGGGATACATACTGTACTTCTTCCAAACTCCTCTTTAGCAATACGTTATAATGAAAGTACATTTTAATTGCTTAAACGCATTTAGTTCCCTTTACTGGTTATCTCAAGCAGCAGTAATCATTCTATTTATTCCCCTCTTGTATTTCAGGGGACCCATTTTATACACCACTGAAGTTTAGCAACCTGTTGAAGTGTAGCAACCACACAGAGAAGTGCAAAACTACATCAATTTAATTAAGGGGCAACTTTTAGTAGGCCCAACTGTATAAATCCTTACTGGTATTTAGCCAGGACAGAGGTCAACTCAGAAACTACTCTTGTTAAATCTCCCCTGACATAGGCTTTTAATTTCTTCCCGATTCACAAACAACACAAAACACAGGTGCTGTGTCGGTCTTGCAATAAATGTGATAAAACCTAGAGCCAGCATCAAACAGCACTTTGGCTTGTTTTTAAAATGCTGATTTAAAAAGCAAATAATGGATATATACACATATAATTCCATTTTTTAAAGCAAAAGGTAGACGGTAACTTCCACTGTTTGAGACATCTTATCCTATGCACAGTTCATTTTATTCGCCAAAAAAGTGATGTCCCAGGATTCCTAAAAAGGTGTGCTCCCTCCATATTCCAAAAACAGCATATCCCTCCCCACCCCAGCCTGCTCACCTGTCCGGCAGTCCCAGCCACAGCCAGGTACCCGCTGTATTTACACAGGTGGATCTTCTGGATTCCCAGCCTGGGGTCATCACTGTAGGGGTCAAAGCAGCCCACCTGCCAGGGAGAGGAGCAAGTCAACACTGGGGTGAGGAGAAGAGGTGGATCTGCACTCCCTGATGGCTGTTGACTTCCACACACAGCAGGTAGATGGACTACATACTGGAAGTCAAAATGCCTCCCAGACGTAGGTAAACCACAAGTGTAAATATATTTGTCTATCTAGACCTCTTCCAAAATAGAAGATACAATTAGGTAACTGAAAACAACCTCTTTCAGAGGAAGAGCAGGGCTGACCAAACAAAGCAAGACTCGCACTTTTGTTCGGAAAGAGGCTGATAAAAGAATTTTATTAAAGCTAGTGCATTAAAGTCCACAATCAACCAGAAGCAGACAAAATTACATTAAGACCACATTCAGCATGACTGTCAACTGAAATCATACTTAGAATTACAGCAAAGACTTTTTATGCTGCAGTGGGCTTCTGCGTGTTGTTATACAGTTGAATCAGTAGCTGTAATTTAAGGTTATTATTTCTGAAGCCCAGAGGAAACCACAGGCATGTGTTGAGTGCAGGCTCTTCTGGACTGGAACACTGCCGATGTGTGTTGGAAATGGATAGGAAAGGGATATTATTCTGAATCGGACAATGACAAATTTTCACAATGGGACGTCTCAACGAGCACACCTTCGCCCCCCAGGTCCGTACCTTGCGGAAAGGAGGCCACTCCCCTTCGCCCCCCTGGTTCATGTTGTCATTGGGGTCGGCGTCAGTGTGGAACGCCCCCGCTGTGCTCAGCTTGTATAGAGGGTACAGGCACACTCCTGAGGCATCCCAAAACCGCACAGTGCCATCTTCGTGTCTGCATTATGGAGGGATAAACACGTAGTCCTGTTATTTACACCATAGTTTACAATATATAACTGTATAAATATATAATTATTTACTCCTTACAACTGGAAAACAAAGAGACAGATGATCTCACAATAAGGGCTCCACATCTACATGTTTTATGCTCTATGTTACAGAGCTCTGTTACTCAGTGGGTTCAGTCAGTTTCAAGAACTGTTACCATCTCATTCACACACAGACAGACAAATTACAAGTCAGGAGTGAGACTCACCCAGTCAGAAGCAGGTCTCTCTGTGGAGGGTCTGGGGCCACATTCTTGCCTCCTCTCACTGGCCAGGGCTAGAGAGATGGATGGTATGAGACTTAGGATTTGCTAATTTACTAAAAATTAAGTGATCTGAGATGTCTTGTAGTGTGCAACCAAGGGTTTGGACATTTTGTCGATGGGAATCCTTTAACTATTTCAAACCAGCTAACCTTAATCTCTAGTACAAAATCATGATAGAAGACTTTTTTTAAAGATTTCTGAGCTACTTGTTTAAGGCAACAATATGTGCGGTTTATGGCTGAATGCATTTGATCAAGTCAGCACAATGGACTAAAAACCTCTAAACTTTGAAAACTTGTCAGGATGTTGAACAAATTAAAGAACAATTCCATGCACACTGTGTCAAAAGCTGCAACAACAGATGTTATGCATCATGCTGTAAGCTTTCACAACCCAGTTACGCAGTTTAAGCCCTACATCACAGTGCCCCAGGTCTCAGAGCAGGTGGCTCACCCTGGGGGAATAGTGTGTGTACTGTTGCCGGCCGGCTGCGCCGATGCGCTCCCACAGCTTGAGGGGGATGTTGGAAACATGGTGGGAGCAGGTGATGGCCGAGCAGTGCAGGGGGGCCAAGTAAGGGGTCTGGATCACTGGCCAGCCGTCTGTCTCCAGGTCCACCACGACCAGCTCCTCTTCTACCAGCACCACCAGGGCACTCGGCTCTCCTGAGGACACAGGGTGAAGTTAGGAAAAAGAGATCAGGAAACAGGTTGAGGGCAAGCAAGAAAGAAGGAAATGCAGAGAAGAACTAGAAGAAAAAGTTTACTTTTTTTTCCCCCCAACAACAAAAAGGCAGAAGACGATGAGGCAGAAATGTGGGGGAGACAGCAGGACAGGTGAGAGAGTGCGTATCTTAGTGTTTATGTGATCATTTTTACTATTTCTCAATTTTGGAAACATTATTAAATCGATAACTCTCGCCGTAACTTCTCCATATACATGTAATTTCCTAAAAATATTCCGACCACCTGCACCTTTTGGCAGTGTACAGGAACAGACATTTAAGATGTAGTCAGACTTTGAAGTGTGATCTACTAGGCTGTCCATTACTTGGATAGGAAATGAAGTGCCCATGATAAACCAATAGGTGGCACTCTTCATTCTGGATCACAAATCACAAACCTGATCCCAAGTATGGTGATAAGCAATACTGTGCCAAGAGTGCCAACTTTTGGAACCGAAACATTTTGTCCACGTATCACAATAGCATATTTCACTGCAATAGCATTTTTTGCTGTGGGACAACCAAACTCAAATTTAAGTTTATAAGATTATCTAAAGCCTATTTTAATCAATTTCACAGTTCGCAGCACACACCACGATCTCACCTGAAAAACAATTAATTTAATTTCTTTGCAACCCAGGTTAATTAATATGCATTTACAATGTCTGCAGAAATACCTATATGTGCGAGTGATCTCTTTGCTACATGAAGGACCTGTGTTCCCAGTATAGCTGAATGCACTGAGGGCATTCATGTGCCCATACCCTTGCCCTGTGCTCCAGCAGTGATGACGAAGAAGTCAATAATACGAGAGGTGAAGTCCAAGGCCACATGTATCTTGCTGTGAATGATGGAAATACAGTGACGGTCGCCATAGCTCGCCCGCGGCATCCCCCCACTGAAAATCAGGAAGGGAAGACTGGAGAGAGACAGACAGGGAGAGATCTTAGAGTCAGAGGAGTTTGTTTCAGTGATTCTTGAGAGGCCATCAATTAAAGGCATGTACTGTTGTGAGGTAACAAATGTAATACACTAACACACAATTATCAAAAGCTAATCTGAGTAGTCCACATTATTAATATGCCATCACTATCAAATATTCACTAAAAACATCAGCTTTTTCAACTAATCCCAAAACACTACACTTTGCACTCAACAGGCCTTAACAAGCTACCAAATTTACATTTAATTCTTTTCTAAATTCAGCTGTACTGTTTTAAGCATTTTAGTCCAAATCCAATTTAGAATCTTCAATAAGTAAAACAGCCTTTCTATTCAGAAACATGTCAGTGTACTTTACAAGAGAGGAAAATGCTAAAACACCAAAATAAAAAGAGGGAGATTCTTAAATATATTTCACAAGGAGTGACCGATTATCATTTAGTATGTTACAGTATATTAATATAATAATATCCAAACATTCTGAAGATTTGCCAGTTGGAGATATTAATTAAGACAACTGGAAATGTCATTGCACTATTCTGCAAAAGACTAACACAGACATCCAATAAGCTGTGAGCAGTCAGGTAGGTCAATTCTTGTACTGAAAATCGATTTTGGAAACAGGATGGATTACTTATTAGCCAGAGATAAGATACTGTAGGAGTCCATCCAGAGATGGGACACCATCTTTTAAAACACTGGCCATCTTAAACTCACTCCTCAATGAAGAACTGAAGCTGAGAAATCCATCAGAAGATCTGGAAACTGCCAGACAAATGGGTAGTAACCCTCGTCTTGGAGCCAACCAACCATCATTCCAAACTTCATGACTCATCTAAACCAAAGTGCCACACAGGAGAACACTCACCCCTGTTTGGTGGGCAGCTGGACAATCTTAGTAATAGCTTTACATGGGAAAGTACCTGTAAAGGGGAGACAGTAGGCATTAACCCAAGAACAATTTTAAAAAAAGGACAGAGTCAAGACACATATTGCTTGGGTGGTCAACCAAGTCCAGTCTTAAGGGTTACCCTTAAAATATCACCTTGCACAGACTTTTTTTGCAAAGTTTTGATAAAACCTAGGAACTTTTAGTTCTGGTTTAGTCTGGAATAACTAACGGTGGGGTGTTGGTTGCTTTAAGTGATCATTAAACTACTTGAAAGAACAATCCATTGCTTAGAACTTATTTAAAAATAATTAAAGAATACTGGATTGTACATCGCGAAGGCTGACCACCTTAATACACTGCTTCCTATTTATGTTTTTCTGCAACGATCGCTAACATGTTAGTAAACGTTGCACTGTTAATGATCCCCCCCAGTACTGGTCTGGGAAATCTGACCAGCCCTACAGAAGACCTCACCATACGGCGTCTCCTGCTTGTCTGGCTCGGGTTGGTCATCCCCACTGGCCACCGTCCACTGGCAGTAGCTGCCGTCATTGTGAGAGCTGAAGATGTGTCCATCTTGCGTCCACCACACACTCTCTAGCTGCTAAAAGAAGGAATAGAAGCATTAGGGCTCTGCAGAGCTCAATTCCTGCCAGTGCATTTACTTTTAAAGGTGCAATCAACAGTCACTAAGCCACCTCCAATCAGCTCAATGGAGAGATGTCAGAAACCTGTGATACACAAACAATCTGTAATGTATGTTATAGAGGACAATATGTCGGCAAATGCATTTGATACATTGGAAAATCAAAAACTGAGAAGTTTTACATTTAAGATAGTCCCCATTTGCCTTTTCACTGTTATTTATTCTGCACATTTAACTTACATCAACATGTTTTAACACAAAACAATACATCAAACAGAACATTTCCTCAAGCGTCACCCAGGTGAATTTCAAACATCTTTACTCAAGAGCAAAAAATGTTCCTTGGTTTTGAAAGAAAGGATCAAAGTTAACATTGTGTTAATGTACCAAAAACAAAGGATACAAGAATAAGTATACAACCCCCAACTTTAAAGCAGTTTTGGAACTTCTTAAGTGGGGGAAAAAAAGAAATCCTAGGTGAAAACAAAGGGGCTTTAGAAGTCACCTTGTTGGCAATTAAACTTAGTCCTGCAGGTCAGGGACATGAAACGAAAACAAAAACAGTTCACCAACTGTCAAAACAGTGAAAAGGACTGATCCAGTTCTACATGTGCCTTCATCTTTCCATTAAGCCCTTGTTACATGCAACAGGCAGGAGGGAGGGGAGGGTGTGCACCTCTCAGTATCTCTTATCTTTAGGTAAACAATGGACATTCTTCAGAGTGTTTGCTGAGGTAGAGTAGAGCTCCATAACTGTTCTTTATCTTGTCACTGGCTCCAGTCACAAAGGCCAGATTCCCAGTGGCCTGGCAATTGTAGGAATATTTAACTATGATCAAACCTGGTAGGTCATTAATACCATCTTCCAGGGAATATTTTGAAATCAATGTGGTAAAGACTGTAAACACAAAGGGGGAGATAAAGACTGAAAAGAAGAAACAGAACTGCAAGAGGGATCCCCCTATTCTGCAGACCAGATAACAGAACATGTCCAGTTAATTTGAAGGCAAGATTTCCTTTTTGTGGTATTCACCAAGCTAAAGATCTCTCACTGGTTTAGTGACAGGCTATTCAGAACAGGGAAAAACATTTCCATTTGTTTATCATCCATTTATTGAGTGATTTAATCCTTTGCATGGCCTGCTTATTTTATAAGACACACTTTCCCCTGTTCCTCTATATTTATCGATCATTTGTGGGACTAGAGTTCTCTTTCCTAGTTCTGTAGAAGGCAGGACATTGGTACTCACTGTGCATGCATGCAAATAATAGGAGGAAAGGTTGTGCACTTATATATGTACTGTACATAACAGCAAATATTTGTCTGCCGTTTAAAATTTGCTGCCTTGTTTATCACCTCCCAATCCAGCTTATCACCTGCCTGGAACTGTTAACTCTTGGTAACCCTAGGGAAACAGTGTATGTGTAATTAAGTTTTATAATATATGCAAAAGCAAACTGGGGTCAGCACCTGATTTTATTTGTATTTTTAGAACCTTCAGTTATTTACATCCTTTCCAACAGGACCATTAGTCTCTAGCTCATAAGTCTTTCCAACTGACTCTAGTGCTGCACAGAACAACTGAGTCATGGAAACAAACTCTAATACATATATGGTCACATGATTTACGTTTACCCACTTATAACTCTGTGTACTGCTCAAAATACAGATTTTTTAAAAGTGGTCCACTTACCACTGTTGTTCCGAGAAATACATTTTAGCACCCTCACTGGAATTAATTTCAATTACACAGGATTACATATTTAGTATTCAAACTGAAATGTCTTTGTACACCTGATCATTGTGAACTCGACTGTTGTCACCCAGCGATAGATCGAAGTAGAAGCCTTACAGAGAAGACAACAGTGGCTCAGAAAGCTTAGGTTATATACATACAGTTAGATTACATACAATAGAGTTACATTAGAAAACCTAATAAAGATAAACTGCTTCAGATAACCCACACACATCAGAAGCGTGCCACAGACAGAACGGCACTGCGCAGACAGATAACCTGTGTCGAGGAGCTTGCGGTACCTGCGTGCCAAGGAAGTGCCGGGTGGCACGGTTCCTCTCCAGGTCCCAGACGACCATGAGCCCGCGGCTGTAGCCAATAAGGATCTGGTTTTCGTTCTGGGGGTTCTCCTGCAGGGCCTCCACACACTCCAGATTTCTGCGCCCCACATAGTCCTCCGGTACCCTGCACAGGGACAGCGAGAGTGATGGATAGAGGTGGGAAGATCGGTGGAGGAAAGATCCTGAGAAATGTTGCAAAGGCCCGTCTTACTTATATGGTGTTCAGTAACCAAAAGACACCATTTCCAGACTGAAAGTTGGAACAAAGGGACACGACAAAACTAGCAACTGCTTATCACACAGATACTCAATGGTGTTTTTATTAGTTTTTTATTTTTTATTACTAATGCTTTTTTTAGGCACTGTTTCAAATGCATTATCTAAATGGTTATTAAAAAAGTGCAGGAACACCCAATTTCAATTTTAATTAAGAAAATGCACTTAAATGGTAAAGGAAAATCAGCTAGCCCAGAAGAAGTTACTCTGAACCCTGGGATTCAAAGACAAGATGACAGGAGGCACTGAGCTGAAATAATGCAATCAAGAATCTGAAAATGAAATGATTAAGAATGATCAAGAAAAATTACTGGAAACTGTTCAAAATTCTCTTTTGCCATTGGAAAAATCAATGACCATTAGGATGGGCACAAGTCTACTGCAGTTTGCCAGCATTAATTAATGCTGCAAGAGTAAATCATTCAATTAATGGGTCCAAGCTGTCAGAGTGTCTGTGGTCACGTAGACTCACTCAGAAAAATGTTACAAGAAAATCAATATTTTTAGAGTATTTTTTATATTTCTCAATTTCTGTAGTCCTGCCATCTGTGTGATCCAGATGCAATGTGCTGTGTGAACAATACGCAGCTTTTAATCACTTAGGCTTATTGATCGCTTTAATTTAATGGTTTGCATAATTAGAAATTAGTACTCAAGTTTCAGAAATACCCTGCAGTAAAGGCTTGACATACTGTTGCCAGTAAATTTAGCAAACGGAAGTCTGCTCAGACTGTTCTAGGAGCACTTTATCCTCTCTTGCTGTTTAAATAATTTTTAATAGGCTACAGATTAATAACGTACAAACACTGCTTATCATGGGAGTTGTAAACGGTGTTGTAAGTTGTAAACTTAGCCATAATACTCCATTTCCAAACATCTGTTCACTAAAATATACCCGGATGAGAAGAGCTCTGAAGGAGTACGTACTGGGACTCATGCTTATCCCCATCTGAAAAATCAATAGCTGAAAGTGGTTAACAAATTGTTCAGTAAGCATTCAGGCAAAAGGTGGAAATTAAATCTGAAGACACAGCAGGACCTAACCCCAGTCCCTGCAGTGATCCCTGCTGTACCTCTGCTGCACGGCCTCCACACTGATGTTACGCTCCTCCAGCTCCCTGAACACGGGCACCTCCACCACGAAGACGTGCCCACCCTCCGTGCCCAGGAACAGCAGCTCCCCTGAAGAGTGTGCCAGCACTGCCGTCACCCGCGTCACACTGGGGGGGGCACTGCAGACAGTCACACGGAAGGAGACAGGATTATTGCCTGCTGCAGGGGTGCTGGAGTGTCACGGGTTTCTTCAGCAACTCTCAACAGCGTGACGAGACCTGCAATTATGTACTAAGAAAGCAAAGCAGCAGTTCGTGTTCACTCAGAGTAATGCAGGAACGGAAAAAAGTTATCATGGGAGTGAACAAAAAATACAAAGCAAATATTTTTTGCAGTGTTTCCTGTATCATGTGGGAAACAGTACTGATGGAGAGAAATAGATTAGACCCCAAATGCACAACACTTTGTAAATTAATTTAAGATTTTCCAAGTTGAAGCCTTTTACTCATTGGGTGTTGGGAAAATACAAGCTAGTTTCCATGAGAACTTGAATCTACCAAATTTATTCATGACTAAAAATCAATAATTCAGGCACTGGAGTGCAGATTTTGCCTAATAATAGTCTTTTCTTTTTAATTAAGGAGGCTTATTAGGTCTTATGTATAAACTAGAAAGATATGGCGAGAATGTCACTATGAGTCATCACTGACAGTGATGTCTGTGCATGTGAGGAAAAGTATTAGTACATGGATCAGTGTTGACACAGCAAGTAAAGTGTTGGTCTATCACCATCCTGCGAGTGTGTGTCATTGGTGACAATACACTCTTCAAGTTGATCAGAATGCGTGTCAGCAAGGCGTGCACTGTTTGACTGTGTATGAGTGTAGGGCATGAGGGCCTCACCCCGGTGGGCCAGTCAGCGTGAAGCGCCCAACCTCCAGCAACTCTGACAGGCCCTGGTGAGCCCGCAGGGTCCACATGTGGAGGCTGTTGTCATCCAGCAGAGTGACCAGCTCGCCCTGGAGAACACAGGCACACATTGCTCACTCAAAGAGTAACTGGGAAAGAGAGAGATGGGTCGACAGAGGATGTGACAGTAAAGCCACACTGCTCACTGAGATTTGATCTTTGAAGTTTTAAGGTTCATGCAGAACTGGTTGAGCTCCTTTAGCACCCCTAGTATGTCATACATTTTCTATAAGGCTCCATGAATTATACACGTGGCAATACAATGGTAGTAACTCAATGTTTGTTTTAAAAACTACTTTAATCAGCTTGTTTTGTCATGCATTACACACTAAAGTATAACTAAGAATTAAAGATGGTTAAACTAACCATTAACCCCAATCAAGAATAACATGCACCCCAGGGGACGTTCACATGACATTAATACTATAACAGTAGGTTGCTCCTGCCAAATAGTCATCATCATTATTAAAATTTTCCAACCAAGATTTCTGTTCTTACTTAGGGTAGACTCATTTTAAAAACAAAGTTCCAAAAAAACAAAAATGAGTCATTCCTTTTGTTTTAGCTTGTGCCAGTTAAGTCCTAAAACTCTTCTGCACGGGATTTTAAATTTGCTGGTTTCATCAACATTCACTGCTGAACAACAGCTGTAGCCTACTTGCCTGATAGGGGAGGAAATGTATCTGTGTGACAGCGGCGTTCTCCTCATGCAGCCCCATGAACTCAACGCCTGGAGCTCCATATCTGGCGGATTGCAGTGTTAAGTAAAGTCTGGATCTACTTGCAGAGAAAGTCCTCATTTGTGAGTAAGTGCAGTCTGGTTTTGAGCTCAAGCATAAAACCAGCCTCAGATAAGAGCACGCCAAGACGAAAGCAGTTAAATATTCAATATTATTCATTGTGCTGTATTCACTACCTGTTTCGAGCAACACTATCCAATGTGCTAATACATTTATTAAACTTTATTGCTGAACTGTACCTACTGAATTTAGAATCAATGCAGTTTTGTTCATAATACCATATTCAAATCATTAGAGATTTTTTTAATAAGTAAAACATGGAAACTTATTTCTGAAGCTATGAAGACTTTAATGGAATAGGTATTCATATCCTAGCCGTAATTAACCTGAATGCTTGCAAGGACAAACCAGTCATATAAGGATAGTTTTACCATTACTTTCAACAATTAAATATGCAAATAGCATTGTTGGAAATGGGAGGGTCAAAGCAAGTAAAACAAGTTTTTTCAACAAGCAATTTTCAACCTGCATTTGCTTATCAAATATCACCTTATCAGCAAGGTTTTATTTTGCTTTTATGAAAGAAAGAAATTCAAAGAGGTATTTCAGATCTGGAAATGCAGGCTTTTCAAAATGTTTTAAAGAAATTAACCCCCAGACTCAGAGATGGGGCATTCTATAAGGTTACGATATAGATTGAAGGGTTCACATTTCTATCACATATAAAACCATTGGCAGAACAAGTCACAATCAACCATTGCTTTTGTTATAAAAGAGAGTGCCTGACCGCAGAGTTCCCAAAGAAAGCACCAGCCAGTTTCCCTCTGTTAAGAGGCCGCAGGTATTCAGACAGGTTCCCCTGCATTGTGTGAGTAATGCAGACACACCCCCTGCTCTCAGAATTCACAGCAATGACAGCCGACATGCTAGACCCAGGGATTTGCACAATCCCATGGGAAAATACGCACAAAAAGACAAAGCCAGGCATAAACACAAAGACGCACTCTGACGTACACCAGCGTGTATTCTTCAAGTCACACAGAAAACGGGCTTGGACCTTTTCGGCATCCAAATTTTAGATGTGTGGACATTATCCCTGGTGACACCCCAGCCTTCCACACTCCCCAGAAGTAATTTTCATAAACTTGTCTTGAATAACCTGCAAACTATACAAGATATTATGGAATTTAAATTCAGAATTTCTCCATCAACTAAAAAGCACAAAACATCACCATAATGGATTCCTTATGTTCATTAATAATATTTAATAATTATTTAATAATAGTAAATTAAGTAGAAAAGTGTGAGATTTAATAAGTCTCTTTTCTAACAGCATAACAGATGATAAAGCAATGTGAGAATGAACTAAACGTAAGATTAAATACCATTTTATTTTATAGGAATTAAAAACAAGTTGAAAGGGATCACATTAAATAATGGCATTGTCCCCTCCCAGGAAGAATATCAGCCGCTTGTCAGATTGCTCAAACATTAACATTCCTGCACTTCTATGTAATAGTTTAAAGCATGTCAAGCCTACATATACACTAATATAGCCAATGGCAAAAAACCAGAAAAAAATGCTAACACCTCAGGTACAATTTGCTCACAACTAAATACCTACATGATTTCTAAGCTATGCGATCCAGAGGTTACACAATTTCCTAGGCTCAAACCCCACCTTTGACCAGGGTAGGTGTGCTACCTGGTACAATTTAACCTTGTTGCGAAACCAATTTTCCACTAGGAGAGACTCTGCAGCCATTGGCATATAATGACATTAACGCATCGTCAACTCCATAGTCTCTGGACGCTATTTACATAAAAGCCCGATAAATGACTAAAGAGTCACATTACTATTGTAAAAGTCTTCCACACATTCCAGTTTGGAAAACCTAAATCCTCCTCTCTTTGCATTATAGCACATATATACTCCCGAGATGAACGTTGAGGAATAATCAAAGCTACACATCGTCCAAGTTGGGACAAATATTTACCACGATTACACCTTAGCTGAGAGCAAGGCCACACACATCTGCCTGTGGTGTGCATTTGTGGATACAGTTTGATGGCTCCTGATCGGGTTCCGATGGCCAGGAGGTCCAGGCTGGGGCTGTACCCGAGGGCGCTGGGCTGGTGGGGGAATCCATGCTCCACAGTCTGCACATGGATGAGACACGGGACAGAGTGAAACAGAGAAAAGTCAAGGAAAGCTATGAGAGAACGGATCCATCAGTGAGCATGTTAAAACATTCCAACAAGTCTGAGGACGGCAGCAAAAAGAGCAAAAATGAACCCAAATATGCTGGTTACGTCTGACAGGGCTTTAATAATATTAAAGCAATGAGAAAAAAACCTGGCAGGAATTGGTTACACCTGCCATGGCAGAAAGACAAAGATTGTTCTCCTCCCAGCAGCAGGTAGCCTCATACTCTGCAGAGTACACCAGGTGAAATTTTCACTGCTCCTCTCTGCATCTTGTGCAAAAGACATCACTAAAATCACCATCACAAATCGCTAGGTTTCCCTGAAACACTCAGTGTTGCGTTTTATAAAAAGCTGAGAAATAGTGTGCAAACAGTTACTGAACTGGCTGTGTGAAAAACAAGGACTTCATTTCTCTTTCCAATGAGATCCCTCCTCCCCCCCCCAGTTTCAGAACTTAGAGATCAGATCACCATGGGGAGGCATGAGGCAGGGCAATCTCAGAAGATGCACCTTGTGATACACACCTGTAAATCCCACAGACAGATTTAAACCAGCTCTCAAAAAGAGGCATCCTAGTCCAGGTCCTGGTAACCCAACCGTCTTTTTATTCCAATTGAATTTTTTATTTAATTGCACCCCTTATTTAACTTAGTCAATTAAACAAAGCAGTAAAATTAATTTGCTAATCAGACATGGTAGATGCGTTATTGTCTTGCAAAAGCGATAATGGGCACATTTGGTTCAAGTGTTTGCTTTGCACGTTTTTTCCTGCTATAGACATCCTTGGATAATACAGTCAAACCACTCTAACTGCAAACATCAGCAGTATAATCAAGAACTGAAGGGGAAGCAGTAATTGTTTTCACATGGTGGGGAGGCTGCAGTGTTGTTACTGCTATACAGCAGGTCGTCCAGGCCTTGCACCTTATTGAACTGGTAGAGCTCTTGTTTGAGGCGGTCTCGGTGGGATTCCTGACCGTGGCGACGGAATTTCTTCATCCTCCCTCCCCGTTACCCCCCCGGCAAGCTGCGGATCCTGGGACAGACAGACAAGGAGAGAAGGAAAGGGACAGTCAGAACATGCATTCAGTTCTATATCCGTGAACCTGACCCCTTTCAACTGTGGCAACAGATCATGATCTACCGTTCTGGTCCTGCAAGATCTTCATCCATTCACAACTTGATTCCAGATCTTTAAACAAACCCAGACACATGTTTTGATTAGGTTCTCCGCCTATTTTTGGATAAAAGTACTACAGTGTATGTATGTCTGAGTGTGCTCTAAAAATCCAGCAAGTGTTTTATGTTTCTTTAAATTGTCAACAGATTAAGGCTGTGGAGAAATGATAAACTAGTCCAATTAAACCTTAAACGGATGAGTTTAACATTCCAAGGTGAAAAGCAGTTTATAGCATATGGAGACACAAAACCTGCTATATTCCAGACCCTGAGGACCAGAACTGGGAACCCATGCATGAGGAGATTTATCATATATTCATAATTAAAGAACTTCAAAGTCACAAAAGGAAAAGTGTGAAGTTATTAATTGCAGAATTGTGCAAGAAGATTAGAATACAATAGTTCAATTACTTACATGAAGCAAAAATATACGTCTTAAAGAAAGTTTGATTTTTTTCAGCCATTGTACAGAAAATATTATGCAGGTTTCTGGAGATGTAACCTAATTAAATGACTTCTGTTGACTCAGATGGTCACAGCAGGCCATGAACACACTACTGCAATGAATACACCTATATTTTGAAACGCCCAGCTTCAAAAAATCTTCAAATAGATATGTACTATGCGATAGTGTATAGAGGCTGTAATCCACTCCAGGTTTTGCAAACTGTAGACTGAGGCAAATATCATTCATTATCATCATCTTTAGCACCACATCTGTTGATGCAAATGTACCTAAAATAAGGTTAAAATCTTGAAACACACAAGATCTGTTACTGGCTTAAACAAAAAATCTCCAGTCTTTTCATTCTGAATGAGCTCACTGCAGGTCATTCAATGCCTCAAGCATTGCAGTCTTACACATTAGATACTTGTTTGATTGCCCAGTCGTGGAATTCAAAGCATCAGTGAGTGTAGCACAGCTTTATTTGGTTCTGCTTAACTTCACAGAGGACATGAGGTTATCAAAACACAAAAAACACCATCTGATTTCCTATGGCATTGAGTTCACTTAATTAAAAGAAAATAATCCTGTCATGGACCCTATGGAGGAAAAAAAACTAAGTAGAATCATACCTTTTTGGAAAATCCAAGAATAATTTTAGGACACTATCATATTTAATCTATCTGGACATTTGATTTGGACTGCAGCACAGATGTTTTGAATTGGAGTTACATATGTACACATAGCAACTGAATCAATCTGGTCCATTGAGAATGGAAGTCAACATTTGCCACTTTGCTCTTTTTCAGTTTTTTTGCAATGTGAAACCACATGCATGCCAGGAGGCAAAGAATACATGTCAAATGATGACCAACCTCTAAAATACCCTTACTTGCGCAAGTGCTTCACCGCAGTCACACACACAAAAAACAAACGTGATGTACTGCTGTAGCACGTGCGTGAACGAGCATAAAAAGGATACAAGTCAAATTACTAAATTCTTAATAATAATGGCTCTTTTGTGTTGACAATGTCAAATTTTCTCACTCAGATCGTATGGTAAGAGGTCACATTCTCAAGAATGTTGAAAGCATAAAGATGTTGTGGTTAGATAGGTACAGCAAAAAACATTTTACTTTAACATTTGGCTTCTATGCTCTGGGTAGCACCCGTGAATTTCCTACAAAAGGACAGAGCTCTCCACAGGAACACACAATGCCTTCTACTGCTTTTTCAATTTTCTTATGTAACCAGAAAAGTAACAGTAAGCAAAGCTGGTGGAACAAAGTGTTTTATGCGACGGACACTATTTCGTTCTCACGGAGATGTCGACTCTAGTGAAAAGCAAAAGAGATCACAGGGCCCTGGGGAAAGTGCCAAGAAGAAATAAACAGACTTGAAAAGTTCAAAGAATTTAAATGATCTTTTCTGGTATGCAACGAACACAGACAGAAAAACGAAAGTGAAGCACTAAATACATCTAAACCTTAAATGGCTCAACCTTAGGATTCTAAGCACTGTAATAAGCACGTAGGTATAATTACACCCTAACAGCTTTTAAGGGGAGTTAACTGTTGTAAGGCCAGCCACAATGACCTTCCAGTTAGTGGGAATTTAAGTTTTCTGAACAAAGCTAGTAGCACAGTGTTGGAGTTGTGAGTACTACTGTCTTGCAGCTCTGGGCCCCTGGGTTCAATTCCAGACCTGGGTGCTATCTGTGTGGAGTTTGCATGTTTGCCCCAAAACATACTGGTAGGTTAACTGGCCTCGAGAAAAAACTTGCCATGGTGCGAGTGCGCGTTGCAACGACTGGCAATCCTGTCCAGGGTGTAACCCCGCGACCCTCCGTTTCTCCTTAGAAAACAGACGGAGGACCAGAAAGACCACAGGCTTAACAACCACCAGAAAAACCTGAGAATGCGAATGAAAAGCACAGGTGGGTCCTGTACCAAAAACAGATTTATTTTTTTACAGAAAGATTATAGAGTGGAGGGAACAAAGCAGAGGAATAATATTGAAGTAGATTCTCGGGGAGCCCCCAAAACACATGGAATTGAGACTGTTGTGAGAACAGTGAAACCACGAAGAAACATTAACAATGTGGCCACCGCTAATATCCTTCTCTACTGGTAATTGACATTTATATCCTAAGCATTAAGACCATTTGCTCTGTGATGGTCACACATTACAAATAGAGCTCTCTGACTCTACTGCAAACTGAAAGACACTCATGAGAAATGAAAACCAAAAATGCCTGCCCAGGTTGAACATAAGGAAACTGATCAAATTTTGGGGGAACTGCACATTGTGACTCATCTGCTCTCCCTTCATTTAGACAGCAGTGAGGGTGGGGGAGTGACAGGTCAGTACTGGACTACCCTAAAGGCCCTTTGGTCTCCTGCAAACAGGGCAAGAATTCCTGTGCTGCTTGTCAATAATAGCTGATGGATTAACCTGGGCTGCTACAGTAGTATATTGTGACAGCGGAAAAAAAGCACATAACACCTATTGTACATCACAGAGCAGATGTAGGTGTAGATATAATTAGAATGAGTTTAATGTTTTAAATATTTATATGGAGCAAGGTAAACTAGGACAAGATTTTGAGAGATTTTAGACATGAGTCATGTTGCTTGTGGTATTAATTTCTGGTCCTCAAGAGAAATTATGTCTTCTGGTTTTCAGTCCATTCGGGTCTTTTGAAAGTGTGAATCAGCTGTTTATGTTACCACTGGTGCCATGACTTTCAGCGGTGCGGTGGCTCTGTGGTTAAGGATCTGTGCCTGTGGCTGGAAGGTTGCCGGTTCAAATCCTGCGGCAGGTTGGGCCCCCGAGCAAGGCTATTAACCCCAACTGCTTCAGGGGCGCCGGATAAATAGCTGACCCTGCGCTCTGACCCCAAACTTCTCTCCCTGTCTGTGCGTCACATGGAGAGCAAGTTGGGGTATGCAAAAAGGCAAATTCCTAATATAAGAAATTGTATATGGCCAATAAAGTGATCTTATCTTATCTCCCCGATGATTAAATCAAAACTGCAAAAGGACCTGTAGCTCTCCCAAACCAGGTGAATATCACTGGTCACCATCACACCTCAATTCTGCAATTACACATAATGAAGCTATCATGAATGAAACAGATAGTCTAACATGCAAGAACAGTTTATAAAGGAGAGTGATTAGATCAAACAGTACCACCAAGCTACAGAGACAAATGGGAGCAGTATTTCAAAGAATATTGAAATCAACAGTGCTATCCATATAGACCAGGTGTTACAACATTGTGCTCAGATCATACACATTATGAAAACAGGATAATCAAACAAAACCCTACACTAACACCAAGAAAAAGTTCACATTATAAGATTCCTTCTTATCAACCAACCGTAACAGGGAGATGCAGTGGAATGTATGATTCCTGCACACCAGACAAACTGATCTATGCCTTATCATAGATTAGCACCTGGTACAAGAATGAATTCTAAACCCGGAATCAAACAAGTGCAACTTCATACCAAAGGAAAAATGCACCAGGTGACAGATCTACTGTGACTTCCTGTAAAGAGAATAGCAAACCCACAAAGTACTGGACTACAAACGTCCTTCCTCTTGACGTGCATAGCTAACTTCCCTTCTTTCAAGCAGAGGTGCTTTGAAACAGAGGTGCAGGTGCCTGTGAAAGAGATCTTCCAAGTGATGCCTTTCAGCTGCGACGTACGCCCCGGCTTTCTCGGGAATAACTTACCCTGCAACCCCTGTTGCCACTTGTTCAAGTTTCACTTCCTCCGACAGCAAGAACAAACATGTCCAATCCATTCCAAAAGCAATGGGGAGATTACAGCACAGCCAATGCTCGGCCCATTCCAGCCAGCTCACAAGAACTTTCCTGGCACAACCCTCACTAATATTTCTTATTACGAGTCATCACTCCTGGCAATAGCACTGGAGATGCATGACAAGCCAATTAGGCTTAATCACCATTCACCATTGCGGGGTTTCCGCTCGCTGAACTGGATGTGGACACAGGAAGCTGCAGGAAGCTAGGGAAGATGTCCGCTTTGCTACACACATGAAACTTGCCTCCAGTTTAGTGTACCGTGGGGTGCAATGGACTTCGGTGACAATATGCAACTTACAACTCGGGGCATTGCATCATTTCAAAAAGGTATGGCACCTACTGCTGTGCTTGAAAACAAACTGACCCTCCAATTATTTTCCCCCTTTATGCCCACCAGCTTGGAAAAGAAAGACACAGAACCACTCCCTTGCAAGCTCAGGAGCGGAGGGCTGAACACACCCCGAGCGCCTTCTTGCAAGGATGAGCCAGTCTGAAACATCAAGAATTAGAACATCTCCAGTAAACAGACTGCAGCGGGCACAATCCAAGGCACAATTGGAGCACTTTGTTCTTTTATT